TGTCGTAAATGATTTGTTGTCAAATTTGTTTACGTTTATGAAAAAATATTAGAAATAAAGGCAAATTTCAACATTTTTTGTCAAATCGGGAGCTGTTTTACTACCATTTTAACTGTTATCCTTCCATTCTGTCATGTATCTATTTCATAAAGATGTAATCCCAAAAAAATATTGGAAACAATTGTGAAATTTTCATCCTACACACAGACAAACAATAGTTTTGAAAGAAAAAGCTGTTTCATAAATGCAGAAACTCTCGTCTGTCAGGGTAAATATTAATTCAAATTAAAAACTTTTTAATGCAAATTTAGGTTGTCGTCTGTCTATGGTATAATAGCCTAGACAGACGACAGCCTTAATTTGCATCCTCATTTCCTCATTTTTATGTGTTGTTAATGCACAAAATCAAACTGAATTTATACTGAATTAGGCAATTTCAATATGGCAATGCTGTCGAAAATTAATTGTTTCTTGTCAAATTTATTTATATTTATATTTATGAAAATAAAAATAAGAAATGAAGGCAAATTTCAACAATTTTTTAAATTGGGAGCTGTTTTGCTAAGATCCTCCTTTATGTCATGTACTTATTCCCTAAAGATGTAATCCCGAAAGATATTGAAACAAATGTAAAAAATGTTCATCTTACACACAGACAAACGATTGTTTTGAAGCAAAAAAAAAAAAACTGTTTCGTAAATGCAGAAACTCTCGTCTGTCAGGGGTAAATATTAATACAAATTAAGACATTTTTAATGCAAATTAAGGCTGTCGTCTGTCTATGGTATAAGGCTGTAATGTTAAGTTTTATTTCAGTGGCGTTACACGAAATTTGGTATAACGTGCTGAATTAAACCTAGAGTGATGTATGCCAAGTTTGGAGAAAATCGGTCCAGATTTAGATATAGCTCCCATATATAGTTTCGTCCGATTTGATGTAAATGGTCCACCAAAGTCTCTAAATATCTTTCGATTTGCACGAATTTTGGCATAACGTACTGAATTGAGTCTAGAATGATGTCTGCCAAGTTTCGTGAAAATAGGTCAAGATTTAGATATAGCTCCCTTTTATTATAGATTGATTTTAAGTAATTGACGTACTAAGGAACCAATAGGAACAAAACGTTCTGAAATTAGTATAACCTAACCTGTGACAAGTTTGTTTGAAATCGCTCAATATTTGGATAGAGCTTCCATATATATTTTCGCCCGATTTCAAGTAAATTGGGCATCAAACTCCTCATGTTAGTCAGATTGACATCAAATTTTGCACAACTTACAAAATTGAGCATAGAATTACGTAGTTGCGTTTTCTAGAAGTGCAAACATAGCCCAACGGATGACATATTTATATTTGTTTGAAGTCGATTGACATACTTTATGGATAGATCTAGGTAGATTCACACTTAGATAAATATCACATTTTTTTCATCCAATTTTATGTTATAGTCCTGTTTAATATACCCATAGTGGTGAAGGGTATCATATAGTCGGTCCCGTCCGACTTTACTACTTTTCTTACTGGTTAGTATATGCATAGAATCACTTTCTAATTCGATTTATGCATGTCCGCCCGTCTGTCCATGTCCAATTGTAAACAAAGTACAGGTCACATTTATGATCCGAATTGGATGAAATTTGGCATAGGTCACTTATTTGGCCCAAGGACGAGCTCTATTGAAATTGGGAAAAATCGGTTTAGAATGATGTGTGTTAAGTTTCGTGAAAATCATTTTAGATTCAGATATAGCCCTCATATATATTTTCGTCCGATTTTATGTAAATGTTGTGCCAAATTCCCTATATATCTTTCGATTTGTACGAAATTTGGCATAACGTACTGAATTAGGTGTAGAATGATGTGTGTTAAGTTTCCTGAAAATCGGTGCAGATAGCCCCCATATATATTTTCGTCCGATTTTAAGTAAATGATGCACCAAGATCTCAAAATGTGGCCGATACTGATATTAGTATATCTTAACCAGTGACAAGTTTCGATGAAATCGGTTTAGATTTCGATATAGCTTTTATATATATTTTCGTCCGATTTTAAGTAAATGGTGCACCAAACTCCTCAAGTTTATCAAATATTTATCAAAATAATCAAGGGGTGTCCGATTGATATGATTTAGTGTAGGTGAAAAATTTAGTATAGGTTGCAGAATGACATGTTTTTGGATCAAATTTCATTTTATTGGTCCTTCAAAAATGCATCATCTGTTAGGATTCATCTGTTGAATATACCCAAAAAGGTAAAGGGTATCATATAGTTACCCCATTTTTCGGTATTTTGGATACGTTTTTCAATCGAGTAGGTTCTAATTTCTTATTTTGGGTTCTCATTGGGTGTCTAATCCATTTTTTTACAAAAAATATCGTTGTCTGTCCGCGATTTGGTATAGACCTCACAAAACTGTACACCAAATTTTTGACAATTTGAGGATTTCGGTGTGTACAAGGTTCTAGCCCAAATTTCCAATAGCCTTTATTTTTGATATTTCTCTTGGTAGTTATTTACCATGGCATAAAACCCACATAAAAATACCGATCAATTTAAAAATTTGACTGTTCACCTCACAGCGGTGAGTATAAAATGGTCGGCCCTGTCGAACTTAAGGACGTTTTACTTATTTTTATTCATATTTTTTAATAAACAATCTCTACTCTACTTAATAATATTAGCATGTAAAAAATCAACAAAAGTACACATTTATTACAAAAATTAAGAAATGTAATGAGAAACAATTTGTAAGAAAATGGCCTAAGTACACGAAAACATGAAAAACAAATGAAAAGTCTTTAAGTCCCAAAAAAGTGCGTATGTATTTCCGCAAACACTTATTTGTACTCTTCATATAACTTTGTACTCTAATTTGCAATATTTGGGGAAATTTTCTGCATAGGCCTATTTTTGTATATCCCTTAAGGAAGATTCCGCCGTTTTTTCTTACGTCATTTCATTTAACTTTTACTTATTTTTCTAGAGTTTTTAATTACTTGTATTTAATAGAAAAAAAAAAAATAAAATACATTATTTCTCACTATTGCTCACAGATAAAGTTTTAAAAAGTGTACAAGGTAAACATTTGCATGAATGTACCTGTACAATGAATGCCCAACGGTGTTAAGTCGTTGAATGAAAACAGAGAATACAAAATACAATGCATGATGTTCGCTCATTGGACTCATGGATGTTGTATAAGTTGTTCTTGTAATCCATCATACTGAATGTTGTGCTTTCGAGTTTGATCGTTTGATCGGACAAAGCACAGCGAAGAACAACACATCTTCGGTGGTTGAATTCATTTGCACTCATTCAATATTGTTGTGTACTCTGAATACGACTTAACACCCATGAATGCGGATGGGCATTCATTGTACGAGTACATTCTTGCAGATGTCTAGAATGAGACCCACAAAACCCCTTGGAAAAATGAGGGGTCAGGAAAAATCACCAAAATCTTGTGGGCTGACCAAAGTGAAGACTAAACTAAGCAAATCCTAATGCAACTCCGATCATGTAGCTCATCTCGAAAAAGAAATTAGTAAAAAACATTTACATTAATGATCTTTCGCCCTAAAAAGGCATAAAACTCAAAAATTAAAAAAAGAAATAAGTCGACTTACGGATATTCTGACGGGACACCTCAGCCTGAAGGCACATCTACTCAAGATTGGTTGCGAAGGTAGCAGCTTGTGAAGAGCGTGTGGGAACGACAGTAAAACGCTGGAACATTTCCTGTACAATTGCCCAGCATTTACATGTCTTCGGACTAATCGATCTGAGGGCGTATGCATAGAGAGGTCTGAAGGAGTTGTGCACCAGAAAAATTATTAGCAGTGTTACCGCTGGGCATTTTAAAAAAGTTGTACACAGAGTCGTTCCCTTGAAAAAAAAGTTGCACAGAAAAATAAATTTGTCAGATTTGCCAGATACCCTTGGATTTCAAAAATGACGTTTGGGAATCCAAACAAAGTTTGCATTTACACATAAAAAAGAAAATATAACTTAACAAAAACAGGAAAGAAAAATAGCACAAAGCTTAATAAGTTGTAAACAGAGTCACAGGCATCAAATATTTTGACTTTTGTCGCACAACTGTAACCCTAATTATCAGAAAAAATCTTAAAAGGGGGGAAGATAATATGACGGACTTTAGTTTCTATTGGGATATAAACCATCAAAAATTTACTTTTTTCATCACTGATTAAAAATAAAAAAGAGAAATATGAAAAAAATGTTCGTTGTATTCGTTTTCTACGGTGGAAATCTTCGTTTTATCTTTCATGTACATATAAAAATCGTTTAACACCTCCGTTATTCATGATTGCCTCAAAAACAGGGAAAATTACCTCTATTCATCCTGTTATTGAAATATATTTGTTTCCACTTGCTTATCTTCTCAATTACTTTATTTATAAAAGACCCACACACTTCTATTTGTCGTACAAGTGCTTCGCTGTATCCAAACCAATATTTGAGTCCTATCTTATTTTGAAAAAGTTTCCCTAAGAGTACTACCTAAAATTCAACTAGGTCGTTCGACGTTATTCACAAGTTCACAAAAGTAAAACACATGTATTTATACGAATGTTACCGAAATACGTCTTCACACAAATTTTCAAACTATGACAGAACGTATTTTTTGTTTTTTCATTTGTTGAAAAAGGAATGAAAACATAAAGTAAATATGACTTTTTCAATACGAATATAATATAATTGGGCAATTACTATAATTTTTCATCGTTGTTCCTCGATTTTGTTTAGTTCGCTAAGAAGTTGTATATTTTTGAGCACCTCGTTGGAATTTAGGTAATGTTGTAATAACAGATAAATTAAATAACGCATTATTTTGTTAATGTCATAACATAAACATTTATAAACAGTGTGTATTTTAAATTTAGTAAATAGAACCAACGTATTTTATATTGAGGTAATTACACACAAAAAAAATATATAATATAAAATATAAGTAATGTCGTCATTATATAAACATTTGTTATTCCTCGTCTTCATCTAGGCCAGAGAATTTATTCATGGACACCAACACCTAAAAATGAAAAGAAACAATTATTTATTTTATTGTGGAATATATATAATACATAAAAATAATTGATAATTAATGGTTCGATTACGGATGGTAATCATAGTTTAGTGGCGTTGCCAGTTGCCAAATTTGAATTATGGATGACAACTGTTGCCAACTTCAGATTAATCTCTTAATGCCTTCCAATAGATGATACGCCTTGCATATCATTTTCATCATCAACAAATAGTTCCAGTGAGCTTATCATCACTTAAAATTAGTTTTTCTGAAATATTCTATTCAATACAGCAACTGAGAAAAGTTGATATTCATAACAACGTTACCTATAATCCGACGGGGCGTACAGAAAAATTCAACTTCCCCACTTTTCAAAATGTTGTGTACGGCCGTATTACCCAAATACGTCGAATACACATCTTCAAGCGAATAATACAAACCGCAGAATAAAGTTTAACATTTATTAAATTAATCCAAATATTTTATGTTCACATTCGAAATTTCATTTTTTCTCAATGTTTTTGTTTTTATTTCCAACAAAAGAAAAAAAAAAACAAAAAATACGTTCTGTCAAAGTTGAAAATTTTCAACTTGAAATTTTGTACGCTCGACGTATTTGGGTAACATTCATACAAATACATGTGTTCTACTTTTGAAAACGAGCTGGTCGAACGGGCTAGTTGAATTTTAGGTAATAGCCTAGACAGACGACAGCCTTAATTTGCATTAACAGTCTTAATTCAAATTAACTTGTACATTATCCTCATTTTTATGTGTCGTAAATGCACAAAATCAAACTGAATTTATACTGAATTAAACAATTCTAATATGGCAATGCCGTAGAAAATAAATTGATTTGTTGTCAAATTTGTTTACGTTCATGAAAAAAATATTAGAAATAAAGGCAAATTTCAACATTTTTTTTCAAATCGGGAGCTGTTTTACTACCATTTTAACTGTTATCCTTCCATTCTGTCATGTATCTATTTCATAAAGATGTAATCCCAAAAAAATATTGGAAACAATTGTGAAATTTTCATCCTACACACAGACAAACAATAGTTTTGAAAGAAAAAGCTGTTTCATAAATGCAGAAACTCTCGTCTGTCAGGGTAAATATTAATTCAAATTAAAAACTTTTTAATGCAAATTTAGGTTGTCGTCTGTCTATGGTATAATAGCCTAGACAGACGACAGCCTTAATTTGCATCCTCATTTCCTCATTTTTATGTGTTGTTAATGCACAAAATCAAACTGAATTTATACTGAATTAGGCAATTTCAATATGGCAATGCTGTCGAAAATTAATTGTTTCTTGTCAAATTTATTTATATTTATATTTATGAAAATAAAAATAAGAAATGAAGGCAAATTTCAACAATTTTTTAAATTGGGAGCTGTTTTGCTAAGATCCTCCTTTATGTCATGTACTTATTCCCTAAAGATGTAATCCCGAAAGATATTGAAACAAATGTAAAAAATGTTCATCTTACACACAGACAAACGATTGTTTTGAAGCAAAAAAAAAAAACTGTTTCGTAAATGCAGAAACTCTCGTCTGTCAGGGGTAAATATTAATACAAATTAAGACATTTTTAATGCAAATTAAGGCTGTCGTCTGTCTATGGTATAAGGCTGTAATGTTAAGTTTTATTTCAGTGGCGTTACACGAAATTTGGTATAACGTGCTGAATTAAACCTAGAGTGATGTATGCCAAGTTTGGAGAAAATCGGTCCAGATTTAGATATAGCTCCCATATATAGTTTCGTCCGATTTGATGTAAATGGTCCACCAAAGTCTCTAAATATCTTTCGATTTGCACGAATTTTGGCATAACGTACTGAATTGAGTCTAGAATGATGTCTGCCAAGTTTCGTGAAAATAGGTCAAGATTTAGATATAGCTCCCTTTTATTATAGATTGATTTTAAGTAATTGACGTACTAAGGAACCAATAGGAACAAAACGATCTGAAATTAGTATAACCTAACCTGTGACAAGTTTGTTTGAAATCGCTCAATATTTGGATAGAGCTTCCATATATATTTTCGCCCGATTTCAAGTAAATTGGGCATCAAACTCCTCATGTTAGTCAGATTGACATCAAATTTTGCACAACTTACAAAATTGAGCATAGAATTACGTAGTTGCGTTTTCTAGAAGTGCAAACATAGCCCAACGGATGACATATTTATATTTGTTTGAAGTCGATTGACATACTTTATGGATAGATCTAGGTAGATTCACATTTAGATAAATATCACATTTTTTTTTCATCCAATTTTATGTTATAGTCCTGTTTAATATACCCATAGTGGTGAAGGGTATCATATAGTCGGTCCCGTCCGACTTTACTACTTTTCTTACTGGTTAGTATATGCATAGAATCACTTTCTAATTCGATTTATGCATGTCCGCCCGTCTGTCCATGTCCAATTGTAAACAAAGTACAGGTCACATTTATGATCCGAATTGGATGAAATTTGGCATAGGTCACTTATTTGGCCCAAGGACGAGCTCTATTGAAATTGGGAAAAATCGGTTTAGAATGATGTGTGTTAAGTTTCGTGAAAATCATTTTAGATTCAGATATAGCCCTCATATATATTTTCGTCCGATTTTATGTAAATGTTGTGCCAAATTCCCTATATATCTTTCGATTTGTACGAAATTTGGCATAACGTACTGAATTAGGTGTAGAATGATGTGTGTTAAGTTTCCTGAAAATCGGTGCAGATAGCCCCCATATATATTTTCGTCCGATTTTAAGTAAATGATGCACCAAGATCTCAAAATGTGGCCGATACTGATATTAGTATATCTTAACCAGTGACAAGTTTCGATGAAATCGGTTTAGATTTCGATATAGCTTTTATATATATTTTCGTCCGATTTTAAGTAAATGGTGCACCAAACTCCTCAAGTTTATCAAATATTTATCAAAATAATCAAGGGGTGTCCGATTGATATGATTTAGTGTAGGTGAAAAATTTAGTATAGGTTGCAGAAACATGTTTTTGGATCAAATTTCATTTTATTGGTCCTTCAAAAATGCATCATCTGTTAGGATTCATCTGTTGAATATACCCAAAAAGGTAAAGGGTATCATATAGTTACCCCATTTTTCGGTATTTTGGATACGTTTTTCAATCGAGTAGGTTCTAATTTCTTATTTTGGGTTCTCATTGGAAATCAATTTTGGTTCATATAAAAAGTTTTTACAGGCAAAAGAAGTCGAACGATAAACAACTCGAAAGAAAACGTAAACGTATAATTTTCAAATGAAATTTGGTTTATGTATTTCGAATCGTATGTCAAAATGCGAACGTATCTGACAAAATTAGTCACTTGATATTTTGTTGTCGTGAAGAAAATAAAAATTAATGGATATAATTGAAATGGAGGGAAAAAGGTAAATAAATCTTCGTTATCCCCTTAAAATGTTATATACGCTTATTGTAAATGTTTACAGTTCGAAAAAGTCAACAATGGAACAAATGAAAACATTGGTAAAATATATGGAAGAAAATCCAGATATAGGAAGAAATATCCCTGCTTTTGGATCCAGCCGGAAATGTACAGATGCAGAATGGTCAAAAATTGCTGAAATGTTAAATTGTCTAGGACCCCCGTCCCGCTCAATTGCCGAATGGAAAAAGGTAATAACCGTGAAAATGGGCAATACCCCTGACTCCTCACATTCATAATAAAATTATCAGAGAGTAACATTGGCGATCCACAAGACAATTGTTTGACCTTGATCTCCACTCGCTGCCCAAATGACTGTCACTGTATACATGCTTATTGTGACTACTACATAAAAAACTTAAGTTCAATTGATATAATTTTTTGCAGACGTGGGCGGATTTAAAATCGCGAACAAAGAAGAAAATTGCTGATAATAAGAAAAGCTTAAATGCTACTGGTGGTGGCCTTCATCGTTTTTATCACCTAACAGAAATTGAGGAAATAATCGACAGAACGTTTCACCTATCATCTGCTGCTGCACCACCAGGGAACTTGTTTGGATGCAAAAAAACAAAACAAGTGGAGAAGAATATATCGAACGATGAGTTACCAGAAGAACTGTCAAATACATCAATAAATTCCATGTTTGAGAAATTAATAAGCACTCCACCAAGATCCCTTAAGGATGTAGCCAAATTTTCCCCGATTCAAAAGGATAGTTGTGAAAATGAGACACCCGAGGCTGCTATAAACCCACGGAAACAAAAATGTTCGGAACACATTGCCGAAGAAAACGATTCAGCACGAAAAAAGAAGAAAAGTTCGTCCCCGGATCAAATTAGCCTAATTAAGCGACAACTAGAAATATCGGAAAAAATTGAAATTACAACACGACAACAGGCTGCATATATGAAAAGATTGGCTGACACGGCTGAAGACCATTCTAACTATGCAAAGGAACAAACCGTGGCGATGAACAGATTGGCTGATGCAGCAGAGAAACATGCACAAGCGGCTACAAGGATTGAAACAATTTTAGAAAATTTAGCAACTGCGCTTAAATAAAAATTGATATTTTCTTCTTTTTAATCATATAATTTTTGCTATATTTAAAACAAGTTATTTGTTTTAAATTAATTTATTTATTGAAATAAAATAATAATTTACCATGATTCATTTCATTTTAGATGACCCCTAAGATCATTATTTTCGTTTTATAAACTAATTGCTATATGTCTTCTAATTGATGTAGCTCGTATATCGTCATTTATTTCCACTTCGCGATGTAGATCTTGTGTGCTTTCTACAACATCAATGACTTCTGGTTGAGGACAATTATAAAATAGGCATATGTTATGAAGAGCACAACATGCATTAATTATTTTCGTTGCCTTTTGGGGATCATAATGAAGCCCTCTCGATCCTAAAATACAGCGGAATCTATTCTTTAACACTCCAAAGCAACGTTCTACTACATTTCTTGAGCTTATGTGCTTTTTGTTAAATGTTCTTTCAGGCAGATCTTGAGGACTTCTATACGGTGTCATTAAGTATGGTTTCAGCTTATATCCACCATCCCCTAAGGATTCAATATGGTAGTTAGGACGAATTTATATTTTAATTTAGGTTTACCTAGGACCCACGTATTTCGTTTTCCATTTTCAAAGTCTCTTTCTAACATTTCGTTAATGGGACTTTGTTCCCATATAAATGAGTCGTGGTTAGCTCCAGGATGTCTAGCGTCAACGAACATTATTTTGGTTGTATGATCGCATACCTTAAATATATCATAATTTTAAAGGATATATGTTTATTTAATTACCCGGGTACATACCACCATAGCGTTAATGCTGTAAAATCCTTTCCTATTGTAATATAGATGTTTTACATCATTTCCTGGGGATTTAATACGGATATGTGTACCATCAACGCATCCAATTATCCCTGGAAATCCAGCAATGTCGTAAAAGCCCCGCTTAACCTTACTCTCATCATCTGGGTGACACATTGTGATCCACTCACAGCAAATATACTCCTCGAAGAAATTCAGGCACTCATCAATGACGTGACAAACTGCACTCTTACAAAGAAAAGAAACCATTTCATTACCCACTGATTGTTGGTAACTTCCAGTAGCTAGAAATCTTAAAAATGTCGCTAGTTTAATATCTTCTCTGACGTGGGTACTTCTAAAGCTTGGTCCAGTGCTAGCTTGAAATTTTTTTACCAATATTTCGAAGACGTTCTTCGTTACACGAAAATTTGAAACAAATCTGTTTATAACAATGAAATTAATTCCTTGTATATTGCAACATGAAATACATACTGCTTCGTTGGCATATCTTGCACATTAGTTAGGTCTCGCAGGAGCCTACGGCTTACTTTAGAGCTGTTCTCCTGCTCCTCATCGATGAAATAAACAGCTAATGAAATATCCATATTTCATTTATTATTTTATTTGTTTATTTTTATTGTGTTTATGTCACAACTATGCGCGTCGTTGTATTTTCTTGCATTCATTTTAGTAATATTTTATTAAAAACAATACATTTTTACAAAAATATTTATATGGCAACTTTTTAACCCGTATGACAACATAACATTGTGATAGTCATACGTAAGTACAAACGAAAATATATTTTCGAAATACATGAACGCTTTTTTAAACGAAAGTGAGTGAGTTACTTTCTTTCGCATAGCTTTTCGTTCGAAATAGAAAAACAGGCTGTAAGAACTTTTTAATGCAAATTAAGGTTGTCGTCTGTCTATGGTATAATAGCCTAGACAGACGACAGCCTTAATTTGCATCCTCATTTCCTCATTTTTATGTGTTGTTAATGCACAAAATCAAACTGAATTTATACATACAGCCTGTTTTTCTATTTCGAACGAAAATCAATGCGAAAGAAAGTAACTCACTCACTTTCGTTTAAAAAAGCGTTCATGTATTTCGAAAGCTATAGTTCGTTTGCCGTTACACATACCATTTGAAAAACTACTAAATTAAACGTAAAGTTTTACAACATTGTTCAATAAATGAGAGTCAAATGAGAAATGAGAACAAACTACACAAATACAATCACACATTTGAATATAAAAAAATGTCAAATGGAAATTTTCAGTATTTTTAAGAATTTTGTACAATTTTATTTTCTAAAAACATGAATGAAAAATCCAAGCGATACCTTGTTTTATGTTCCAAAAATGTTTATTTTGTATAGAGATTGTGTTGTGTGAAAGTGATTCAAATTTTGGTGCATAGTTCGCGATTTTGCAATTCATTCGAAAGCTATAAAGCAAGTGAGTGAATTTGACATTCTCGTTCGCATGATGACAGCTTTTTCGTCATACATAAACCCAATTTGTAAAGAAAAAATATACGTTTACGTTTTCTTTCGAGTTGATTATCGTTCGACTTCTTTTGTCTCTAAAAAGTTTTTATATGAACCAAAATTAATTTTCATTCGCATTGAAAGCGAAAGAAACCTTTCATTCGAAATACATAAACAGGCTGATAATAAATAAAAATAAATAAAAATTAGGCAATTTCAATATGGTAATGCTGTCGAAAATTAATTGTTTCTTGTCAAATTTATTTATATTTATGAAAATAAAAATAAGAAATGAAGGCAAATTTCAACCATTTTTTAAATTGGGAGCTGTTTTGCTAAGATCCTCCTTTATGTCATGTATTTATTCCCTAAAGATGTAATCCCGAAAGATATTGAAACAAACGTAAAAAATGTTCATACTACACACAGACAAACGATTGTTTTGAAGCAAAAAAAAAAAAAAAACTGTTTCGTAAATGCAGAAACTCTCGTGTCAGGGATAAATATTAATACAAATTAAGAAATTTTTAATGCAAATTAAGGCTGTCGTCTGTCTATGGTATAAGGCTGTAATGTTAAGTTTTATTTCAGTGGCGTTGCCAGTTGAAATTGCAACTGGAGTTTGGTTGCTGTCCATAATCGACCCATAAAATTCTTATATAGACATTCAAACCAATTTGCAGTAGATGGGAAAATTGGCCCGAAACGACAATTAAACGCGACCTGTACATTATAAAATATAAATATCATGAATGGTGGGCACAAAGTACTTTTTAAACAAGCTGTTTGCTTGGGCTGTAAAACTGCAAACAAAATTAATTGTATATTACATTTTAACAGTCTGTTTATGTATTTCGAAACAAAGATTTCTTTCACTTTTAATGCAATGGATAATCAATTTAGTTTTATATAAAACTTTTTATGACACATATGAGTCGAACGATAAACAACTCGAAAGAAAACGTATACGTATACTTTTTTACAAATTTACGAAAGCGCTGTCATCAAACGAACGAGAATGTCAAATTCACTCATTTGCTTTATAGAGTTCGAATAAATTGCAATTCTCGAAATATGTATCAAAATTTCGCGTACTTTCACACAACACAATCTCTAAACAAAACAATTTTATTGGAACATGTTTTATAGGTATCGCTTGGATTTTTTATTCATGTTTTTGGAAAATAAAATTGTAAAAAAATTTGTAAGAATTTTCATTTGACAATTTTCATTTGATTTTATTTGTGTAGTTTGTTCTCATTTCCCATTTGACTCTCATTCTATTTGCAACTTTTTAAGCTTTGTGCGACTTTTCCTTCCTGTTTTTGTTAAGTTATATTTTCCTTTTTCCCCCACGGTAACACTGATTGTTGTAAAACTTTACATTTAATTAAGTAGTTTTTCGCATGGTATGCGTAACGGCAAACGAACGATAGCTTTCGAAATACATGAACGCTTTTGGATTCGTAAGTGAGTGATTGTCTTTCGTTCGAAATAGAAAAACAGACTGTAAGAAATTAATAACACTGTGCTACAAAACAAAAAAAAATATTCCGGGTTTCTAATATACCAATTCTGTTTAATTGGAGTCCCTCGAACACGAAAATACCCTTGGTTTTTCTGGGTCACTTCCAAAATTAGTTTTATAACGGTAAATGTAGAGAAAAACGTGGTCTCATAGATAGAGTTTAATATAGAGTTTAATTTTTCCTTTCAAACAAGATATATATTTGGTAAATCGGTTGAGGATTGTCTGAGTTACAGTGGTTGAAATGTGAAAATACGCATAAAAAGACAAAATTTATTTTTCTTCGGGCTGTACGATAAAGGGGAAGAAAATTTAATAAGCTTTCGAAAATGAGAAAAATCAAAAAATCGGTTAAAAAATGAATGACTTATACACATTTTTGTATTGATTCTATGCATATTCTCTAAAGGAACTATGGGTCTATCTCGTTTCCATATTATGTTTGTAACAGGAAATTAAATAAGAAAATAGAAAAGTACCATTCATAATTCATAGCAAAAGACGTCGAAAGTTAACTAAATTTACGAAGATACATCAGAACTATAATGATCAATCTCATTATAGTCCTGCCTATGAAAGACGTAAGAAAAGTTTGGAGAATATACCAATTCTGTACTCGATCGCGTTAATATGTCTGGGATGTGAACGACGGAGTAGTTTTATTAATGGTTTGATGTATGAGGGCTCTTGGCGTCGAAAATTTAACCCTTTGTGGCCCAATGTTGCCCACAGGCAACAAAATGTTTAAGAGCTTATATTTAATACACATCTAGTCAATTTACATTTACACATATCAAAAGTAAAATCTAAAAAATTCAAATGTTTGGTCAAGTTATGCTCTTTCAATATAAAGAAAATGACAAAAATGAGTACGGTACCTATTGTGTATACAGTACAAATTATTTAAATCGCTTCGTATTCGAATTTTACGAATTGTACCCTCAAAATTATTTGTCATTCTTGTAAAAATCAACCTAAAGAGTGATTTTTTTGCCGATATTCCGTTTGCTTTTCTTGATATTGTACCATTATTTCTCGGAATGAATGTCCTGAATCTTCGGAACGCAAGGATGTAGCAAGGTCAAATTTTGCTCATATCCAATTTATGATATTTGGATTCAATCTGCGCACAGAAAATCGTTCTATGATCACGGAAAAAATTCGGCATTCAAAGGGTTAATATTTATTAGAAATATGCATATGGGAAATTACAAAAATCTTTTAAATTCCTTGAAACTGAGGTTTGCAAGCTTATAACTCGCGAAATATGGACAAATTGCATATAATTTAAATTCATTTCTATAAAATGAAGTGTTCTTGTCAAAATCTGAGAATATTGGTAATAAATAATAAGTTAAGTGAAAGCTGTGATGGTGGTAATGTAAAAAAATGGGTGAAAATGTGTTGAAGCCAACTAGTTTTTTTGTGTTCCTTCCTTATTTGTTGCTAAACTACACAACGCACGCACATGTGATCTGTGAATAAGTTGCAGAATACCCTATGGGCAATATGGTTATAATGTATGACTTTTCGATATAATCACTGCATCCACCCAAAAAAGATGTTGACATTTTGAAGCCGGATTTTCGGTGTTTTTTTTAATTTTTCTTATATTCAGGACGCGCAACCAGATAATGGATTAAACTGGTTATAGAATTGTTGAACTCGTGATTTTGCTTCGTTTAGTGTACATCTCATGAATGTGCTCACAGTAACTTCTTTGCAATTGGATTCCAAAGACCAAAATTTGTTCCGTAAATTTTTATAAAAAACCTATTTTTTGAGTTTAAATTTAAGAAGGTCCACTCAAATGCCGTGGAAGCCGAATCTAATGAGCCCAGCCATGTCCAATTCCGTCCAATAAAACGGCGGATATAGATACCTTGAATGTAGGAAAAACGGCAAAAACTTATTTTGGCTACTTCGCGTATATAATCTGTGTGAAAATAGGTGAAAAATACATAGATACGCGAATAATATGCCTATTTTATTCACAATTGATTGTGGTGGCACATCCGCGATTCTTAACCAATTCTTTTAAAATAGATGTACTTTTGCGTATTTTCATTGGAGATTACTGAAATCTGATGCGCATAAAAATCGTATGCACGTTGCGTCATTTTTAGTCATTTTTACTGTTTTTGCATA